CTGGTATTTTGCTGACTCAGACCATGACCTTGGGTGAATCACTCACCAACTTTGTGAAGCTTAAAAACAACTCCCCCAATAAAACTGTCCCAGCCCCAAGTCGGGGCCCATTATGGGGGTGCTGCGGAGGAGGAGTGGAAATAAGAAGTCAGGGAATACAAGGCGGGCAGCAGAAGGGCTCGTTGAATGTCTTGGGCTTGTCTATGCTGGGTTCTGGGAAGGTGACAGAACAATCCTGGGACCACTGACACAAGTGGCACCTTCCTGGCTCCTCCCTCCCCCGAGCTTCCCAAATGCTCCTTAAAATACATCAGTGGCAAAAGCTCTCCTGCAGCTGGAGGTGACCTAATTAAACCTTGTTCCCTTCCCTCCCACTGTGTGTGTGTGTGTGTGTGTGTGTGTGTGTGTGTGTGTTCTAAGGTCTATCCCAGTCAATACTAGATATTAATTATTTAAGAACCCCTTTACCCTCCTGATCACATGCTCAGGCTGCCCTGAGGCTATTGTGCATCAGAGCTCTGGGCTTCTCTGGCATTGGTTAGGGGGAGAGGACAGCTGGAATAGTACCAAGAGCCAAGTTCACATACCAGCTTCACCTCTACCTGGCTATGTGACCCAAGGCAAGTCACCTTCCCATTCTGAGTCCTCCTGGAGAGAAGATCATACTGGTCCAAGTCACACACAGTGACAGAGTAGGAATGCACAGTGTAGTCAGGACCCTGAGTTCTCCAGGACGTTAAGCCACCCCTGCCTGGTGACTGTCTTTTCTCTAGGTAGGAGGGGAAAGACAGACTAAGAGCCTTACCCCTCTGCTTTTAGTCCCCCATGTTGCTGTGCTACCTGGACAAAGGACCAAGCTGCCTACCAACAAGGGTCTGGGTCTGGACACTGGGCTTATAACTAGCAGATATGATCATTGCAGCCCAACTCACTCTGCTGGGTGTCACCTGCAAAGTGGGGAGGGGGTCCTGTCTGTAGGTGGACTGGCAAATGTCCCTTCTTCACCATCCAGCCGTCCATGTGAGTCCTTGAGGGTCCCAGGGGAGCCCTCTCAAGCCAATCGGCATCTTCAATCCTCGGCTACTCAGTCTTCTGTCGCCAGGCCTGGGACAAACTAATGTGTCCTCCCGGGACCCTGTGCTGCCAGCTTCTGTTTGTACCAGACGTGGCTTTTGGAGGTAGGACTAGACAGATGAGGATGGGAAAGACTTTTAAGGAAATATGGGGGAGTCTGTGAGGAAGAGACTGAGAGTCTGGAGGGTCCAGAGGCCTCTGGGATGGAGTCAGGTTTGGGAAACAGGCCTGGAAATCCTCCTTCCCAGGCAAAGGCTCTGACTGGATGGCATCCAGGCGGCCCGGTGCCAGGCTCAGAGAGGGTGCCCCCCCCGCACGCTTCCTCCTCCCCTCCCCCAGCCCCAGCGGCTGCAGCAGTTCACACTCTGTATTTATTATTGTTCTAGCTCCTGTCCCCCTCCTTCTCCCTGGGAAGAGCCTGCCAGCTTGCCAGCCTGGCAGGAACCTGCTGTCTCCTTGTGGGTGCCAGCATCGCCCCTTATCTCCACTTAGTCTCCTTGTGCCAGGGTCAGATCACTCAGGGGTCTGATGCCAGCCTGAGTCCATGCATCCCACAGCAGGGGGTGGTCCAGCAGGCCTCAGCTTATCACCCCAACCCTGTGGTGGGCTGCACCCAGGCAAGGAGAGGGGTGGTAATTCAAACAGACAAGCCCAGCAGGCTGGGAAGAAGCAAGGACCCAGTGAGGTGGCATCAGGCAAAAATAACATGGAGCCACATCTCCAAGCCAGTTGACACAATTATTCTCATTACACTGGGGAAAAATAGAGTCAGAAGAACACAGCTGTTCTGGGTCCAGTGGTCCCTCCCCTCCTTCCCCAGCCCCAGCCCAGATTCCAGAGGAAAGACCAGCAATGCTCCTGGCTGAAGTTGCCTTTCAGGGTCTTGGAAGGAGCCCTGGTTCCTCCAGCCACTGGCTTTCCCTCACCCAGTTCCCAGACTGGAGGCTGCAGCTTGGCAGGAACCTGCTGTTCTCTGCCTCCTGAGCCAGACACAAGTCCCAGACACAGACACACACATGCATTCACACCCACAGGAACCACTCCACCTTGGCTTCCCTTGAGGGTCAAGGGGAGAAAATAGAGGGGCGGTGGGATCCTCTGCATCCTGAGCATCCTCTGAAGGCAGACTGGGCTGGTCCAGCACCTACCTTTCCATCCTCACCTTGCATACCCTTTCCTGGTGCCACCCACCCCTGTCACAGTTCCCATCACCAGCTGCCCTCAGCACCCCCATGCTGCTCCTTACCTCGGCCGGGCAGCTGGGGTCCAGGCACTGCCTCCTGCAATGGGCAGCACCCTACCTCTCCGGCACGCGGAGCTGGCTGGCAGGGGACAGGTCTAGAAGATGCGCTCTTGTGTGTGTGTGTGTGTGTGTGTGTGTGTGTGTGTTATTTGCAGGCGGCACCTCAGCCCCTCACTCACTCACACACGCCTTCCTGCTGACGTCAGGATGAGCAGGAGGGAGGGACTGGGATGGGAATTTGTACTCCTTGCTTAAAGGGACACTAGGCTCTGTCCCCTCGGTCCCAGACACCACCTCCTGAGCCAGGCAGCGCTGGGTGAGTGGCTTCGCTGCATCTGTCAGAGCTTTAAAGCTTCCTTGTTCTGGAAAGTGGCTTTTATTGCTGGGCCAAGGTATAATTTGCCCTACCAGGTCAGGGTAGCTACTGAGGAGTGCTGAGGAGGAGGAAGGCTGCAGTGCCTGGAGAGCAAGTGGGGTGCTGGGGGGAGGGGCTGTGTGTCTGTGCACACACCGGGGGTCTTGCAGGGTGGGAGAGAGAGAGTCTGGGAGGAGACCAGAGCAGAGAGCAGACCCTCTGGGAATAAGTCAGGTTCCTCTGGACTCCCAGACATCTGCTCTGGAGCCTCAGTAATCCCAGCACATGGCACTTAGCTCTGAGGGTCTGCTGTCTCTAGGAATGAAGAGTGTGGGTAGAGAGAGAGGTGGCCCAGCGGTTAAGAGCACTGACTGCTCTTACAGAGGACAGGGGCTGGGGGGGTGTGTGTTCAATTCCCAGCACCCACATGGCAGCTATGAACCATCCTTAACTCCAGTTCCTCTTCTGACCTCCAAGGCATTGCACGACACAGGTGCACTCACATCCATGCAGGCAATACACTCATACACATAAAAAAAATAATAATTAAATATATTTAAAAAAAAGAGTGTGAGTAATCACAGGGACTGATCTCTGACACATATTAGGTTCTTGAGAGGGGCTACTAAATCCAATGGAGAAACAGGGAGTAATGAGCTTAATTCTCTCTCTCTCTCTCTCTCTCTCTCTCTCTCTCTCTCTCTCTCTCTCTCTCTCTCTCTCTCTCTCTCTCTCTCTCTCTCTCTCTCTCTCTCTCTCTCTCTCTCTCACACACACACACACACACACACACACACGGCAGTTGCTCACTCCTAGAGAGAGGCCTGAGATGGCATCCTGCTTCAGACAGCCTGGATTTGACTCTCAACCCCAGGCTTCCCAACCTCTGACAAATCGCTTATGAATGCAGTCCTCTCCTAAAAGGGCAGCTCAAGGCAAAGCATCTGTGAGCCCAGGGCCTGCAGGGGCCTCCACAAAGGCTCATCTCTACCTCCTTCCTGTCCTTTCTCAGTCTCAGTTTACAAAAAAGTCTTCCCCTGGAGTCACCTCAGTGACTACTGAGGCAGGCCTAAAATAACAAGGGGCCAGGCGTGGTGGCGCAGGCCTGTAAATCCGAGCACTCAGGAGGGTGAGGCAGGAAGAGTACAAGTTTGAAGCTAGCCTGAGCTACCTAGAGAAATCCAATCTCAAAAAACAAATCAAAACAAGCCAGGCATGGTGCATACCTGTGATCCCTGCGCTAAGGAAGCGGAGGCTGGAGGATTATTGGGAATTTGAGGCTAGCCTAGACTACATGATGAGACCCTGTGTCCAAGAAAATCCAAAACAGGGCTGGAGAGATGGCTTGGCAGTTAACAGGGCTGCTCTTCCAGAGGACTCAGTACAGTTCCCATCAGTTCATATCTGTCTGTAACTCCAGCTCCAGGGGATCTGACACTCTCTTCTGGCCTCTGTGGGCGCCTGCACACACCTGACATATACTCACAGACACACAGACACATACATTCACATAAATAAAATTAAATATTTAAAAAACAAACAGCTAAGCATGGTGACCCACGCCTTTAATCCCAGCACTCGGGAGGCAGAGGCAGGCGGATCTCAGTGAATTCAAGGCCAGCCTGGTCTACATAGTGAGTACCAGGACAGCTGGGGCTACAGGGAGACCCTGTCTCAAAAAGACCAAAAAACAAACAAAAAAACTAAAGAAGCCGGCTCAGTGGTGCAGCCTTTGATCCCAGCACTCAGGAGACAGAGGCAGGCGGATCTTTGTGAGACGGAGGCCATTCTTGTCTGCATAATGAGTTCCAGGCCAGCTGAGGTTACAGGGAGACCATGTCTCAAGCAAAAACAAAAACCAACCAAGGGAAGAAGAATCTGCCTGTATTATTACCTAGCTACAGGGGTGTTTGGACCTAAGGCTAACACACAGCCCTGCCTTCCTAGAACTTCTTAGAACAATGATGCTCAGTCTTGGTTTCTGGCAGTATGGGTTGGTGCTGTCTGTGGTTCTAGGAGGCCTTTGTTCTAGCCCTGTTCTGAGGACCACACAGAGGAACCCTCTGCCTTTAAATCCCCATTTCCTTCTTTGTCTTCCTCTCCTTTTAATTTTTCTTTTTCTTTTTTTTTTTTGAAGACAGGGTCTCCCTATAGTCCCAGCTGACCTGAACTTACTACGTAGACCAGGCTGGCCTTGAACTCACAGAGATCCGCCTGCCTCTGCCTCCCAAGTGCTGGGACTAAAGGTGTGTGCCACCATGCCCAGCTCTCTCCTTTTAATTTTTAAAAATCTGCTTATTGTTTGTTTGTTTAGAGACAGGGTCTTACCATGTAGCCCTGGCTGGCCTGGAACTCAGAGATTCACTTGGCTCTGTCTCTCCAGTGCTGAAATGAAAAGTATGCACCATCAAGCCTGGCTTCTCCCTTAAAAAAAAAAAAATTAACCAATTAGAGCTTTCTTTTGAGATTGGGTCTCGATGTGTAGCCCAGACCTTGTGTTTCTCCTGCTTCAGCCTCCCGAATGCTAGGATTACAAGCATGTGCTACCAATCTGTGCCTGATTTGTTTGTTTTTGAGACAGGGTCTCAGGTAGCCCAGGCTGGGTTTGAACTTGCTATAAAACAGAGGAGTTTTAAAATCCTAAGCCTCCTGCCTCTATATCCCAAATGCTGGCATTACAAACATGGATGATCATTACTGTGCCTTTCTCTTTTTATCTTTTCTTCCCTTTCCTCCCCTGCCTCTGTCCTCCCCCTCCTGCATCCCTTCCACCTGCTCCTCCTCCCATGGGCGTCACTGTCCTATGGCTCAGAAATGATGGAGTGATGGAGCAGAGACCTGAGCTGATCTTGAACTCATTAAGTAGTCCAAACTAGCTTTAAACTCTTCCTGCTTCTGCCTCCCTGAGTACTGAGCTGACCGATGTGCATCACCACCCTGGTTTGACCCATGTTTTTCAAACATACCAACTTGCTCCCACTAAAGAGTGGTCAGGGCTAGAATGGATGCCTGTAATTCTCCTAGCTTACCATCCATTTTCTCCATTACAGGGACCTGCTTCCTGGGTGTTACAGAGTAGAGTCACCTCTCCCCTCTCAGTCCCAGGACCCCTGGTTCAACCTGGCCCATCAGAACCAGTGTGGATCCCTGGGTTAGAATGTTGGTACCCTGGCCGGCTGTCCTTCCAGTGGCCTTGAACTGAGTGGTGGGTTCAGGAGAGAGGAGTGGCCAGGGAAGATTTCTCTGAGCTTCAAGTGACAGGAAGGAACCAGCCTTGCCTGAGCCTAGAAAGCAGTTGTGGTGAGGGTGAGGCCTTCAGTTTGGGTAGGCACCCATCGATGGAGCAATAGGAAAGGGCCTGGTGTGGCAAGGGAAGTCAGTGTGAGAATGGAGAATGGAAAGTGGGGGTCTCTTACCTCAAAGGTGCGGGCTGGGATCTGGTTTGTGAACCAGGCTGAGGCTAGGACCAAGGTTCCAATTTCTCCCTTCGAATCCAATTTCCTTTCTTGGAGGCTTGTCCCTGCTGTTGGTAAACACAAGCTGGCAGCCGGTTGCAGTGACTGAAGGAGGCTGCCGGGGTTTGAAGTAGTGTGATGATTATCCCCCACCCCACGCGCAGCAAGAGCACAGCTGTTCATTCAGGAAGTGAGCAGCGGAGGCACACCCACCCACCCACCAGCAGCTGAGTAACAAAGAAATCGTCTGCTTGCAACCAGGGGCTCTACGTGGAGGCTATTTTTGTGAAAAGCTGAGAATTCAAAAGCTTGTCTCCTCGAAAGCCTCCCTCTCTCTGTGGAGGAGTGGGGAGGTGGGTTAGAGCTGAACAGTACTAATGTTCTAATTCTCACTCCTGTTATCCAAGGTTAGCCAACCAATGGGCCCAGGCCCGGATGGATATGGCCTTGACTGAATTAATCCTTTAAAGTACATAGACCCCTCTGGTGTTCATGCCGACTTGATAGGAATCCCAGGTGAAGGAGAGCTTAAGAACCTTGTCCAGCCAGGCATGGTGCCTCATGCCTGTAATCTCAGCATTTGGGAAGCTAAAACAGGAGGACTGTCTGGAGTTAAAGGCCAGAACTAGTCTACAGAGTGAGTTCCAGGCCTTCCTGAGCTATATAACCAGACCCTGCCTCAAACAAAACAAAACAAGTGTGTGTGGGGGGGGTGGCTGGAGAGATGGCTCAGCAGTTGAGGACACTGTTCTTGCAGAAGACCCAGGTTCGAATCCCAGCACCCACATGGCAGTTAACAACTGTCAGTAACTCCAGTTCCAGGGGATCCGACGGCAATACCCAATATGGGTGCACTTATTTACATGCAGGCATAATACTCATACACTAAAAATAATAAAATATTATCAAAACAAGGAACTTGCTCAGCCTCACATAGTTGATAATGGAACTGGTATTACAATGCAGGGCTCATGGTGGTAAATACGTGCAATCCCAGAACTTTGGAGGGAGAGGTAGGAGAATCATGAGTTTGAGGCCAGCCTGAGCTAAATAGCAAGTTTTAGGTCTGCCTGGGCTATGTAGTCTCCCCCCTTGTCTTTGGGGGTGGGAGGAGACATGCTCTGGCCTCATTATGTTCTTATTCTTTTTGCTATGGCCTTTGAAACATCATATTCCCAGGACACCCATCTGCTCTGCCATGGGACTCCGCTCCAGCCTACACTAACATTTTTGCACAGTAAATACGATGACCCTTCTTCCCCCACATTGTCTTCTCTGTCTTCTCTGATCTGCCTTCTACCAGACAAGAGCTTTTTCAGTATTTCTTTAAAATGTTGTATTGAGGGGGCTGGAGAGAAGACTCAGCGGATAAGAACACTGACTGTTCTTGCAGAAGGCCCGGGTTCGAATCCCAGCACCCACATGGCAGCTAACAACTGTCTGTAACTCCAGTTTCAGGGGACCCAACAGCCTCTTCTGTCCTTCTTGGGCATTGCACGACACAGGTGCACTTACCTACATGCAGGCAACACACGCATACACATAAAATAAAAATAATAAATGAAAACTATTGTATTGCATTTATTTCTTTGAGTGTGTACATACACACCATGTGCTCTAGTTTGCCCTCAATTGCTGTGACAAAACACTCTGACCAACACCAAGTTGGGGAGTAAAGGGTTTATTCAGCTTACATCTCCCATGTCACAGTTCATCAGGGAGCCCAAGGTAGGAACTCAGGGCAGGAACCTGGAGGCAGGAGTTGGAGCACAGACCATGGAGGAACACTGCGTACGGGCTTGCTCCCCTGGCCAGTGCCCAGCCTGCCTTTTTTTTTTTTTTTTTTCGGCCTTTTTGAGACAAGGTCTCCCTGTAGCCCCAGCTGTCCTGGAACTCACTATGTAGACCAGGCTGGCCTTGAACTCACAGAGATCCGCCTGCCTCTGCCTCCCAAGTGCTAGGATTAAAGGCGTGCACACCCTGGCTCAGCCTCCTTTCTTATACAACAAAGGCCCACCTGCCCAGGGGTGGTACCTCCCACAGTGGGCTGGGCCCTCCCACATCACTTAGCAACCAAGATGCCCCACAGACATGGCCACAGGCCAGTCCAATGGAGACAATTACCCAATTGAGGTTCCCTCCACCCAGGTTGACACTAAAGCTATCCAGCACACCATGGCACGGAGGTCAGAGGACAATTTTTGAGAATCTGTTCTTTCCGTTTACCATGTAGGTCCCCAGGCTTGAACTCTAGTCATCAGGCTTGGCAGCAAGCACCTTTATCAAGTGCCCTCTCACTGACCTTTTTCAGTAGTTCTTCTTTTCCTTCACTCAGTGAGTATTTACAGCTTTCTGCTATGTGCTGAATGGTCTAGGCTCAGGGAAAACAGCAATGAACAAAACAGGGTTGCTCCTTAAATTCACGAAGCTCACACCACCTCCTGTAGGGACAAAGATAACACAAGATATGCATGTAGGGTGAAATGGCAGAGACTAGTGGAGTCAAATCCATCTGCTGGGATTGTGGGCTAACGAAGGATCTCTAAGAATGGGGCCCTGAAAGCCAAGCCCAATGGTGGGAATTACAGTCTTGTAAAAAACAGAGGATCAGTGTTTACTGAAGAGGGAACAGCATGGGTGAACTCTCAGAAGCAGGAAAGAATCCATGTGTCCAAATAACTTAAGGCCACAGATGTGGCTGGAGGGTGGGGCAATAGAATGAGGGTTAGAAGGTTGGGGTTGTAGCTCAGTGGTAGAGAACTTGTCTAGTGTGCTAGAGGGCCTGAGTTTGATCTCTAGGACCGAAATATAAAAAAAGCTATAACAAGCTGGGAGTGGTGGCACACGCCTTTAATCCCAGCACTTGGGAGGCAGAGGCAAGTGGATCTCTGTGAGTTCAAGGCCAGCCTGGTCTACATAGTGAGTTCCAGGACAGCTGGGGCTATAAGGAGACCCTGTCTCAAAAAGACCAAAAAAAAAAAAAAAAGCTATTACATATGATGGGGCACACCTGTAAGTCAACTCGTTGGGTGGTAGAGACAGGAGTTCAAGACCATCTTCATAGTAAGTTCAAGGCCAACCTGGGTATTATATGAGACATTGTCTCAAAAAACAAAACAAATGGGCTAGAGAGATGACATCAGTGTTTAGTTGAAGAGTAAACATTTATTGTGCAAACACAAGGACCTGAGTTTGGATTCCCAACACCCACATAACAAGCTGTATGCAACAGTGTACATCAGTACTGGAGGGGCAGAGACAGGAGGGGATGCCAGGGGCTCACTGGCCAGCCAGTCTAGCTGAAACTGGGAGCTCCAGGTCCCAGTAAGAGACCCTGTCTCAAAAAAATAAGATTGGACTGGAGAGATGGCTCAGGGCTTAAGAGCCCTGGCTGTTCTTGAAAAAAAAACCTGGGTTCAAATCCCAGGGCCCACATGGTGGCTAACAACTGTCTGTAACTCCAGTTCCAGGAGATTCGATACCCTCTTCTGACCTCCACAGGCATTGCATGCATTGGTACACTAACATACATGCAGGCAAAACCTTCATAAACATAAAATAAAAATAAATCAAAAAATGTTTTTTAATCAGATGTATATGCCCACAGAGGCCAGGAGAGGGCGTCATGGCCCTTGGAACTGGAATTACAGATGGTTGATAGCCACCACGTGGGTGCTGGGAACTGAACCTGGGTCTCCTACAAGAGTAGTCAGTGCTCTTAACTGCTGAGCCATCTCTCCAGCCTCAGAATGCATCTGAATTTAGTCATATGCACAACCAATTATGCACAGACCTAAGATGATAAATAGGGACTTCTCCCAGAAATTTACTTAAGGACACAGTCTGTCTTGCTGTGCATGTACCTGAAATCAGTTCAGGTTAGATCGTGCCCTCCCCTGTACCCATATGTAACTGGGAATATGGTTGAATAGAAACTGTCCAAGTTTGATAACTGTCAGGGGAGGAGAAACATCCCATTGATCAGAGAAGGGTGTACATGTAGCATGATGCGGGTGTGGGACTGTGTTGCTGGTTGCTTTGTTGTGTGCACATGTGGTGTGTGCATGCAATATGTGCACATCCATAGTCTGTGCAGGTCAGGGAGCTGGGCTGCCAAGTGAATTCTTAGAAACTGGTGTGTGTGCACAGCCTAATCCAATAGACTCCCAGGTTACCAAGCTACTGCCTGTGCTTGCCTGCCTTGCCGCAGTACACATGTACACTCATGTGCATGTGTGTGTAAATGGACACATACTCACAGATAAATAAATACACATAATAAAAATGCAAAGTGGAGAGTGATAGAGGAAAATATCTGATGTTGACCTCTGGCCTTCACTCAGGCATGCATAGGCATGCACGTACACCACACACAAACAAAAAGCAAACAATATAAATTAAAAATAATATTTCAAAAGCCGGGCGTGGTGGCTAACGCCTGTAGTCCCAGCACTTGGGAGGCAGAGGCAGGCGGATCTCTGCGAGTTCAAGGCCAGTCTGGTCTACATAGTGAGTTCCAGGACAGCTGGGGCTACAGGGAGACCCTGCTTCAAAAAGAAAAAAAGTTAATAATAATAATAGGGTTCAAAATGAGAATAGTTCCTAGGCCTGTTCAGACGGATTAACAAGGGTGTCTATGAACACCTCAGAGACGGCATCACCTGGAAAGTTTGCCTGGAAAATCGTCAGAGACCTCAGAATCAAAAACATCCAGCCCCCAGGTCTGATGGGGCACACCTTTAATCCCTGTAGTTGGGAGACAGAGACTGGGGGAATCTCTGTGAGATCAAGGCCAGCCTGGTCTACACATTCAGTCCTCCTCAGTGTTGGGATTGTAGGTGTCTACCACCATGCTCAGCTATACAAAAATGTGTTAAAAATTGCCTCAGCCGGGCGTGGTAGTGCACGCCTTTAATCCCAGCACTCGGGAGGCAGAGGCAGGCGGATCTCTGTGAGTTCAAGGCCAGCCTGGTCTACATAGTGAGTTCCAGGACAGCTGGGGCTACAGGGAGACCCCGTCTCAAAAAAACCAAAAAAAAAAAAAAAAATTGCCTCTCTTTCGAATAATAATTAAAAAAATCTTTAGGGGCTGGAGAGATGGCTCAGGGGTTAAGAACACTGACTGTTGTTGCAGAAGACCCAGGTTCGGATCCCAGCACCCACAGGGCAGCTAACAACTGCCGTAGCTCCAGTTCCAGGGGGTCCGGCAGCCTCTTTTGACCTCCGTGGGCACTGCACGACAAGGGTGCACTTATCTACATGCAGGCAACACACGCATACACATAAAATAAAAACATAAATAAAATTTTAAAAATCTTTAAAAAAATAATAAATGAACCATTTAAAATATAAATTACAAAATTTTAAAGGCGTCCCCTCCTTCTCACCTCTACGCCCCGCCCCGCCGCCCTGGAGCCGGCCCAGACCACGCCCATCCGTCCTAGTCCCGCCCCTCTCATGCGCCTGCGTGCAGGTCCGCCCCGCGCCGGACAAAGGCTTCTTATTGGTCAGCTCTCCGGAAGCGGAGGGATTCGGAATCTCCCGCATGGCGGTGCCAACGCCTGGTTCTGGGTAGGTTGAGTGGTACTTGCTGAGCGGTGGTTCTCGGTGAGCGGTACTCGGTGGCTTCGGTGGAGCCGCGTGGGCACCACAGACCCCCGCGCAGCCACGATGTTCGTCCTGGTGGAGATGGTGGACACCGTGCGCATACCCCCCTGGCAGTTTGAGAGGAGGCTCAACGAGGCCATTGCCGAAGAGCTCAACAAGAAGTTGGCCAACAAGGTACTGGGGGGGAGGGTGCTGCTGGGCGTCGCGGGCCCAGTGTCCTTTGCTGTCGCAGGATGTCCTGCACTTCCGACTGGGATGGGGTACTCTGCACCAAACTGGGATGGCAGAGGGTATCCAAAGAAACAGCTGGTGTGGGCTATTCCAGTTACTTGGCATTACCTGAGGATCGTGAGTTCGCGGCCAGCCTGGGCCGCATAGGAAGACCCTGTCTCAAAACAAGTTAAGAGGGTCGGGACTGTAGATCAGTGGTAGAGTTTGCTTAGTATCCGTGAAGCCCTTGGTTTGAGCCCAAAACAAAACAAAATTTTAAAAATTGACAGAGCTAGAGAGCGAAACGGGCATGTAACTGGAAAGTACCAGGATCCGTACTCCAAAGTAGTTTGCAGGCTTGGCCGCGGCACCCTCTCTGGGCCTCAGTTTCCATTTGTAAAATGGGAATGAATAATCGTTTTCCTACCAACTGCGGGTTTTTGTGAGGGTGGAAGCCTCTGGTAGTCTGGTGCGATCAGGTTCATGTGTTCGTTCTCCAAATAACTCTACACACCTGTGGAGCTTGCCGGTCCATCTCGGCTTTCCTCACCACCGCCCTCCGTGGTGACTCTGCCGGGTTATCCTGATTCGTCTCTGTCTCCTTAGCACTTACCACAGTTTCTTAGTTCTGCGTATTTTAAAATATGTTATTATTTATGTGTATGAGTGTATTGCTTGCATGTATGTAAGTGCGATTTTGTTGTGCAAAGCCCTTGGAGTTTGGAAGAGTTACCGGATGGTTGGTCGTTAGCCACCATATGGGTGCTGGGAACCAAACCTGGGTCCTCTGCAAGAGCAGCCAGCGCTCTTAATTGCTGAGCCATTTCTCCAGCCCCCATTTACCTGAATATTTTAATGTTTTTACATTTATAATTTGTGTGTGTGTGCGTGCGTGCGCGCGCGCGCCACTGCCCGTGGTGGAGGTCAGAGGCCACCTTGTCCTTTTTCTCCTTCCACCATATGGGTCTTTGGGATCAAACTCAGTTTGTCAGGCTTGGTGGCGGGCGCCTTTATCTGCTGAGCCATCTCGCTGGCCCTTGTTTCCTGGTTGCTACTTTTCCCTTTCCTCCCTGTGAATGCAGCGTCCTTCTCCATCTCCTTCCTTTCACTATGCCTAACCCTGAGCTGGAGCGTGGCAGAGGAGACACAGAGGCCCTTCCCTGAAGTGTGAGGAAGACACACCTGACTTCGAGGGTCCCACAGTTGAGTGTGTGTTTGTGACTTGGGGTAAAGGCTGTGAAAGACAGGCATTCACAGACCTGGGGGGCTTACCTGGGATGAGAGAGATTGGTGGCTTTTTTTTGAAGAAACAGCCCTTGAGCTGTGATAGTGAGGACAAGTTAACCAGAGGCTTTGAAGGTGGGAGTGGGGTGTGTGTAAAGAAGAGCTGTGGAATGGCCCTGAGGACGAACTGGGCAGCGGCACCTACCAGGGTACAGAGGAAAATGGCTCGGATGATGCAGGGAGGGTGGGCTAAAACAGGGATGGGAGCCAGGCCACAGAGCCCTACATGGCTTCATAGTCCAGGTATTGGTCTTCAAACGAGGTGATGCTCTGATAAGAGACAGAAAGGTGATGATGGGCTGGATATAGATAGGAGACAGGAGGTCCCTTTAAAGGAGGCTGAAGTCAGAAGGGGGACATGCAGATCTGAGGGTTGTTAAAACTCACTGAGTGGGCCTGGAGAGATGGCTCAGTGGTTAAGAGCACTGGCTACTCTTGCAGAGGACCTGTTTAGTTCTCAGCACTCACATGGTGACTTAACAACCATTTGTAACTCAAGGGAATCCAAGGCCATCTTCTGGCCTCTTGAGGGCATTATACACACGTAGTGCATCTACATCCAGACAAAACAGTCACACATAAAAAATAAAAATATATATATATATTTTTTTTTGGTCTTTTTGAAACAGGGTCTCCCTGTAGCCCCAGCTGACCTGGAACTCAGTATGTAGACCAGGCTGGCCTTGACCTCATAGAGATCCATCTGCCTTGGCCTCCTGAGTGCTGGTATTAAAGGCGTGTGCCACCACACCCAGCTCATTTTCTTAAAATTTATTTTTATTTTAGCTGGGTGTGGTGGCACATGCCTTTAATGGGAGGCAGAGGCAGGCAGATCTCTGTGAGTTCAAGGCCAGCCTGGTCTACATAGTGAGTTCCAGGCCAGCTGGGGCTACAGGGAGACCCTGTCTCAAAAAGACCCCCCCCCCAAAAAAAAGTTTTTAAAGAAAATATTAAAGAACTCACTTTGGGGGCTGGAGAGATGGCTCAGCAGTTAAGAGCACTGGGGTTATGGGGTTACAGCTGGTTGTGACCAATCTGATGTGGATGCTGGGAATCGAACTCTCCTTTTGAAGAGCTTTGTGCACTTTTAACTGCTGAGCCATCTCTCCAGACCCTCT